CAACACGTAAACATATAAACAACATGCAAACATCACGTAAACATGTTTTATTGTTTCCGTTTGTTCTGAGGACATTTAATTAAAAATGTTATAACACAAGGTCACTTCCTCTGGAAACAGGACTTCGATAGCGTGTATGTTCAATCAATCAATCAATCAATCAATCAATCAATGAGGCTGCTGACCTGTCGAAGTTCTGCTCCACAGTGACCACGGGGCTCAGGTTGTCATGGACAGAGAACAGCGGGTTTCCCCTCTTAGCGGCGTACGCACTGCGGAGAGAGTCGGTCCGTCAGTGACGCTCAGGAGGAAACAGGATGATCGAACTCACAAAGACGGAGTTTTATATTTTGTCAATGGAGTCTTTTGTTTTGGTCTGAGGTGCTAAAATACATCAAACTCAATGTTACTGATAACTTTTCTTCTAAAATACAGTTTATCACGTTACCAGTGAAGCATTATGGGTCATAGACGCAGGTTCAAAGGTCAAAATACATCCAGACATCGAGATTAAAAGAGATAAATATGGTTGAAGAGTTCTTCTAGACTGTTTGAACACAATTTAAATAACTGTATTTCTATGTCAAGTAGTCACTAAGATGCTGTTGAAACAACAGTCACCTTAAAAATGTCACTTTTAAAAACATTTTTAACAAATTATAATTTAAAATACACCAAAAGTAAGTTCAATCAACATGTAGCATTTAAAACACTACTACTGATAGCATTGATTCATTCTTGCTGTTTCATTCATATAAGAAGCAGAAGTAAGTAAAACACAAACAGGGAAATAAATCAGCTTTAATGTAGAATAATAAAAGTATCTGTTGATCAGTCTGCTGTCCCGCTGCCGTCAGAGCACACAGGCGTTTCTAAAGAGTAAAGTTCACGACCTGTGAAATGGCAGAGTCATAAACCACCGTCCGACAACACACTCCGCCACTCCTTAATGACTTATTAATGCAGTATTAATGCGCTCGCTGCTGCGTGTTGGTTTTTTTATGGCGAGTGTGGAACATAACCAGCAGCTTAACCATATTTCACTGCTGTGTGCAGTGCAGCAAACTTTTACACTCGACTGTCCCTGAAGACACATCGAGTCTGTGGAGAGAGTCAGTCAGCAGTTTGTGCTCCGAAAATAAAGAACACAAACATATATAAAGATAGATATATATAAATAATAGTGGAAATATAACAGCAGCTGGTTTAAAGGACAAACTGGTTTTCTTTTATCTGGATGTTGAGTTGGACAGTATGCTGGACACACTCACAGAGAGAGAGGACTTTAAATCAGGGAGTGTGTGAACATTCACACCTGAAGTGTGAACATTCACATTCAAAGTTAAAATTTCACAACAAAAGAACATTTGTACTTTAGAAACAGCTCAGACTGCAGTTGATCTACAGCGAGCTGCTGACACCTGCTATAATGGTATAGCAGGTGAAATGCTCACCAAAGTGTAGAAATATAAAGTCGGTCTGTATCTCAACATTTCAGTTATTTCTGTGAAGAAAACTAAATGAATTAATACAAAAATTAAAGGTTATATTAATAATACTGTAAAACCAGTTCATTTAACTCCAAAAATGGTTGAAACAGATCAAAATTTTAAGTAAAACAAACTCAATTTTGTAAGTTATAAAAACATTCTTGATCAAGTAGCTTTAATAATTTTAAGTGACACTGATTTCATTTTGAAATTTTTATTTATACTGTGAAAAAAACCAAGATCAAGAATATTTTTAACTCACAAAATTGAGTTTGTGTAACTTTAAATGTTCAATCACATTACAGTGAATTATTTAATATATAAACTCTGTGAATTGGTCAAAAAAGCAGCTTATTAAGTCTGAATGATTGTTAAAAGTTGAATGAATACATAAACAGACAGTTATTGAGTTCACTCAGTGAAAGAGAACGGCTCTTTAAGGAAGTATTAATAGTATGAAAACATGGCGGCGGACTTTAACTCGTACCTGTAGAAGTGAGCTTTGATTCGCTCTTTGATCAGCCACAGAGGATGATGGGATTGGTTGTGCAGATTGCGGCCGACCTTGTCCAAGATCTTCGGAGTGACGTTGGTGAAGTCGTCCCGCGGGTAAGAGCAGCCCAACACCTCCACCGAGTCCTGACCAATCACAGGCTGAGGGGCGGGGCCATCTGTGCCGAGGCGCCTGCGTGGCGCTGCGCCGCCATCGGCCGAGAGCGCTGACAGACGGCAGCGGTGGAGCAGAGGACGGGGCGGGGACTGCAGGAGGGGGAGCAGCGAGGACAGGGCGTGGTTGCAGAGTCTCATGACGATTGGTCCATAGAGCTGGAACAGACAAGAGGCATCAGGATGAAATACGGCGGAAAAACTGAAAAAGAAAAGAGCAGAAAAGTGTCGTAATGTTCGTCTCGCAAAAGAAAATGAACGCTTGTTTCCAGCCACTGCCGATATGCTACTGTTAGGAGCTGGTGCACGAGATAAGAAGTAGGTGGCGCCGATTCTCCAGCAGAAGAGGGAGCAACAAGACTACGAGATTAAAAGAGTCGACGCTCAAACGGTGAAAAATAACGGTGAAAAATAATGAAAATACGACGTTTCTGTTATTTTCATGTGTTAATGTGAGGATTCATTCTGAGGAGACTGTTGGCTCATCACACAGGAGTTTTACTTACTGTATTGATTAACACAGGTGGCAATACACATATCAAACAAGATGAAACACAACAAAAATAACTGAGAAGCTGACGAGACAAAAAGAAAAATAAACAAACAACAACAAATAAAAAGGAAAATAAGACAAAAGTAAAGTACATCAAATTAAAATGTAAAAAACAAAAGTTAATAGGATCTATTCAATGATTCATAAATTGAACTGATGCATTCAGGGAACTAATATATACATGTGCTGCTTTGAATGTATTTTAAACTACATTAGTCCCTCTGTTTCCTATTGTGTTGTTTTAGTTTCCAACCATTAAACTCTTTTTACAAAAAGGTAAAAACACCTCAAGCAAGTGTGAATACTTTCACTACTCTTCACTACTTACTGACGCTGGCTCATCACCATCAGTTCACTGTACTCTCTCATCCGGGGTCATTTGTGGGCGATTTTTAAAAACCGTCAGTGAGCGGGAGATCGTATCACCGATCAATCAAAGAGGCTTCAGTCATCAAATTTATCCTCTCAGCCGACAGCGAGGAGGGAAACGACCAGAACATGAATCAGAGCCGACAGTAAACAAAACGCACCGGAGGTCAGGTGAGGTGAGAGTTACGGCTGTCAACACACACACACAGACCTACACAC